GTCCGACTAGGTCCGACTGGGTCAGTAGTGTGGCGGCGCCCATTGTGTGTCCTGGCTCCCACGCCCCCCGTGCTTCCTCTCCACTTCACTGAGGAATGGATAGGGAACCACAGATCGGAGCAGAGCAGGTCCCCCTCCGAGCGGCTCGGCTCGGCGGCGGCACCGCCCGAGTGACCGGGGAGAAACCCCCGGAGCCCGCTCGGCGCCGACCTGGGCGACCCTTGGGCAGCTTTGACGGTCAAGTAGAGTTGTCACAGCCCAATCCTTCAACCGGCGCCGTGGCAGAGTGGTACCGCGCTCGGCTCATGACCGTGCGTCGTGGGTTCAACGCTGCCTGGAGGGCACTTTTTTTTCCTTTAATTTTTGGACTCAACGTTTCGAATTTTTTTAAAGGACAAAGTGTCAGCATTCGCAAGCAGAAAAGTGATACAATCAGAGAGTTCTAGATAGAAAACTGGCGATAGTACGGAAGTCTTTTCTTCGACATACAGGGCGGATGCGGCCTATTCCTGGCGCCTCTGCTGCACCCTGGTTGTACAAAACTCTATTATACTTGTCGCTACAGTGGCATAATTTAACGGGCGATATCTTTAGCTCAAGTAATTCAAAACATTTTAGTAAAACGCATGTACATGCTTGGCACAAGCCAGTGTTGTAGGGCTCTGCCGATTACAAGTCTCCTTCGGGCTCGGAAAGTCCCTTCGCCGAGCTCGGGTCAGGCGGAGATCCCCCTCAGCCCGGGAAGACCCGAACGGAGCGCTCGGTCCCACCGCCGGGCGCGCTCGGGCGGCTCGGGGGGACCTGCTCCGCCGCGATTTGTGGCTCCGTATCAAGACGTCTTCACTGTTCGTTTTCCCTCCCCCGTCCTCCCCCCTCTCTTCTTGTCTCCCTATCGTCGGTTCCTTCTTCCCTCCCTCCACATATCCGCGTCGGTGTAACGAACATGCGATGACACTCAATTTCATGTCACTCGACAAATGAGCGTGGGAACAGCGCGCGTGGGCCTGGGCATAACGGGTGTGGTGCGCACAGCCGCGTGTGCGTCTGTCTGTCCCCGCGTCACTCTCTGCGGAGAAGTAACGGCGGCCAAACAATCACCATGTGTTTAACGTTTATTGTGTGCTTTATGTATCGTCGTGCGCTCAATAGTGCGTGGCCGTGCGCAGCGGCGCGCGCGCCGGGTGAGGGCGCAGTGAGGCGTCCACGGTGGCCGCGAAGGCCCTGACGAGGTCCCCGCAGGCCAGCGGGTCGCCCGGGTGGGCCGCGTAGCAGCGCTGCAGCGCGCCGCGGCCAGCCTGCAACCGCTCCCGCCGCCGCCCGTCCGCCTGCAGCTGCTCCCGCAGCTCCGCCGCCAGCTGCGCAGGAGTGAACGGTCAGCAAACGGCCAGTCAGCGGTCAGCGAGCGGTCACCACCAGTCAGACATCTATCTCTCCAGTCATCCGATATGCGGCGGCTTGTTAGCGCTATGGCTCACCTTCAAGTGCTCGCGCATTTGCGCGGTTGCGTCCGCCTCTGTGGGGACGTGAGGCATCCCCGGGAGGGCTCCCACGACGGCGTGCTCGCCGAGTCCGAACAGCAGGGCGTTGAGGTCGGCGGGCTTGTTTGGAGCAGGGCTGCGTCGGTCAGACGTGCAGTTATTAGACGCTCTCGTCGTTCGTTGTTGTTGCGTCAAAACCTACGCCCTTACGTGGTGTGCTGCAAACCGTCGTCGCCCTGGCCGCGTGGACGGTCGACAGGCACCCTCCGTCTGGCGATCGTATCGATGGGCAGCGGCAACGCCTGGTCGACCTCAGAGTTGGCGACCTGCTGTAGTGAGGGAGGTGACTTAAACGTCTAAATTAACACGTGCAACTGGACACACGCACTTCCAACATTCGCGACAGTGTTGCAACAAGGTGTTTACTGCTTGCTCTGAGAACTTTTTCCTGCCGGGCACTAGACGGTTGTTTAGTGCGTCCTACTTTGTTCTGGGCAGAAAAAATTTTGCTCCCGCCACTAAAATTACTGTGCGTGGCATCAAAATTTTAAAGCTCGGCAACAAAACTTTAGTGCCCAGGCACAACTGGATAGAGCGTCAAAAACTTTGTCTCCGGACAAAATGTTTAGTGCTCAGGCCCAAAAAGTTTCTCAGTGTGAGAACTCATGATAGAATTTGACTGTGAATGGACCGGATAAGATCAAAAACAATTGGGCATTTGATCAAAGTTACCGTGGTGGCGCGGGCCTCGTGCTCCTGGGCCCCCTGGTCGGCAGGCCGGGCCCCCGGAGCCCCCGGCGCCCCCGGCTCGTCGGACTGGCTCCCGAACGGGCTGACCCGGTTCGTACTGCGGGGCCGGGCGACAGTCGCGGCGGGAGGTGAGAACAACTCCGGGGGCTGCTGCTGGGCGTGAGGAGACCGCCGCGCCCAGGACTCGGTCTGCGACAGTATTACAAATGTTGGCTTCTGAACGAGAAGAGGAGGACAAAAGTCGGCAGTCCGTCCTGTTCTGTTCGCTTGCGCGGCGAGACGGTGCGGGCGAGGTTCACTATCATGTTCATCGGTACAGTCGGAGCATTTTTTCGTGCCTCCTCCATTCATTCCGTCGTGCATCCGCGGCGATGTGCGCACGTGCGGCGCGGCTCGTGCGTCGGTGTGCGTGCGTGCTCGTGCGTGTGTGATATCTGCGCCGCCCACCCCCATCTCCGCCGCGCTGTTCAGAGGTCGCTGCCGCTGCTTTCTCCGGCCCCTCCCCCCTCCTCCTTCCCGCATTCTGTTCCTCTCCTGGTTTTGCCTACCGCCGCGCGCCGGTTGACCTCCGCACCCGCTCCCCGCCGGTGAGTCGTGTCTCTCAAAGCGATCCTGCGTGTTTATGAGGACCTCTCGTCGAAAACC